AGGTGGGCACAGTGCTCCATTAGTTTTAGAGTAAAACCCCCTTTGTGCTCCCTCTAGTTGTAGGTAAATGAAACTCACCAAAGGAAGAGAGAGCAAGGACCTAGCTAGGGGACTTTGTGTTCAGGGAATACCCCAAAGTTGTGTTTTGTATCACATGCACTCAAAAGGAACAGGCCCTTGTAATTACTCCAGAGGTCACAGGAACAAGGAAACACTTAGTGAACCTTGAAAGAAGTAGTCTTATTTCAAGGGAGAGGAAGTCCCACCCTGTACATTACACAGCATGCAAGTGAGTGAAGAGAGAGGTGAGGCCATCTTGTTCTACTCCCCCTGATAGAGATGAGCAACCTGAGGCCCAGGGATGGGAAATGGCTTGCCCAAGGCCATACAGCTTGTTCCTGGCAGAGCTGGGACTGTAATGTGGTTTCTCAATTTGGAGTCCAGGGCTTTTACTCCATGTACCATTTGGGGTTGCATTTCACTGCAAATGGCAGAGACCAATGGTGGCTTACACCAATGGAGAAATCTCCATCATTGACTAGTGATGGCTTTAAGAGATAGGGGTTACTTTTCTCACTTCATAGGAAGTCCAGAGGTGGGTAGTCAAAGATTAGTGCAGCTGCTGGAAGATGTTAAGGACCTAGTCTCCCCCTATCTTCCAATTTTCACCCTCAGCCCATAGCCCATAGCTTTTGTCTTTATTGTCATAAGATGGCTGCTTTACCTCTAGGCATTGTGTCCATATTCTGGACAGGTGGAAGAAATGTAGCTGAGTTTGTCTTTTTATAAAGGCTTACCTGAAACCTCCATATAATATATATAATACATATAATATTCTATGTTACATATTAATATGTTGTATTATATATAAAACATGTAATATTGATTAATGAGTATATATGTATGTACATATACGTGTTTATATATATATATATATACACACACATACATACATATGTTTGCTGAATCACTATGCTACACCATTTTAAAGATGAAAGAAGGGGTGGGGGCAAAAAGTACCCACCTGAGAGTCGGAAAATGGGTTTAAGTCTGGATTCTGCCACTTTTTTGTGGGTCTTCGACATGTTCCAATTACCTCACCTGAAAAAGGTTTGGGCTAAATGACCCCAAAAGACCCTTCTGGCTCTTAAGTTCTATTTCTCTATCCTATTTGAATTTGAATCCACGTAATTATATTTCCCTCTCCTCATGGAATTCTAACATAAACATCATAAATTATGATAAAAATTGGTATGTAAAAATTGTGTATTTATCTGACAAGTGTTGGTACCAAGAAATTTCAGCCAGAAATTCCTACCTTGAGAGCATCAAGATATCTCCCTATATTTTCTTCTAAAAGTTGTAAAGTTTTATAACATTTTTCTATCGGGGTCTTACAATTCTGTTGTTAGGTTTATTCCTAGGTTCCATAACAATTTTATTGTTTCACTGTGATGAATGAAATTTTTTTCTATCCCATTTTGTAATTGATGATTATTGGTATTTAGGAATGCTATTCCTTTTTGTATGTTAACTTCGTATCCAGTAACCTTGCTGAATTCTTATTAATTCTAATAGTTTGTAGATCTTCCCTAATTTTCTATGCAGAAACTCATATTACCTACAAATCAGAATAGGCAGAGAAAACAGCCTGAGGAAGGTTCTGAGAGGGGAAAGTTCAGGAAACAAAGAAGGCAGATAATGCTGGACATATTGAGAAACAAGGCAGACGATGAGGGGTAACAGAGACAGCATCATTGCACAGGATCTTGGAAGCCATTTTCAGGATTGTAATGCAAAGGAAAGCTACTGAAGTAGTTTAAGTTAAAACTAGAGGGAAGGCTCTATGGTAAGCCATTGGACTCTGCCCATGTTTGTGTCCTGGCCAAAATTTTGATCAAAATTTGGATGAATAGGGCCTTCCCTGGAGGTCCAGTGGTTCAGACGCCACACTTCCAATGCAGGGGGCTGGGTTCGATCCTTGGTTGGGTAAATAAGATCCCACATGCCCACGTGCCACCTGGCTCTGCCTTAAAAAAAAAATTGGATGAATAAATATAAAGCATGATTTTCATGGATAATAAATATATTGGATAACCCTAAAATGTCTTCTTGTGAACTTGTAGAGCTTCAAGAATATATCCTTAGACATGGGACTAAATGTTTGCTAAGATTCCCTTCCAACTCTGAGATGCTGGGGATCTATGTTTTGTTTTTTTGTTTTTTTTTGGCCATTCCGTGTGGCTTGCAGGATCTTAGTTCCCCAACCAGGGATGGAACCCCCAGCCTCCAGCAGTGGAACCTCAGAGTCCTAACCACTGGACGGCCAGGGAATTCCCTGGGGCTCTGTGTTTTATCCTGGGTACCCTGGAACTGAAGGGAAAGTTCTTTCCTATTGCAGGTGGGCAAACAGAAAGTACCTATACCTTGAGAAACAATTAGGGCAGATCTATGTTTACACAAATAATTACCACATATGTGGTGAGTACTGTTAATAGAGAGGTATATAAGGGGTGCAGGAGGGTGTATATGAATTGGAGGGGGGGTGTCCAGAAGGTTGTCAAGCTTGGCAGAGGGCTTGGAAGTAGCCATGGCAGTATACAGGAAAGAGAACAGGGAACAGCATCCATGTTGATGGAGATGTTTCTGAGGCAGAAGGAGCATCTGGTAGGCCTGAGAAGGGAGAAGGAAGGGAATAACTGAGATGGTTGTCTAGCTTGGGATACACAGAACATGGTGACTCTATTACATTAAGGAAGAAGTGGAGGATTCCAACTTTTGAATCTTCCTAGCCATCTGTCTTCTAAGGATTTCAAAGCCAATTCTATTCATAAAGCCTGGGATAGGCCTAGGGGCTGGTTATTCCAGGGAGCAGGGAGAAGGAGCAAAGTAACTTTTTTAGCTCCCACCTGTGTGCTTTTCTTCAGTGGGCTTTGGTGTGAAGTAATGCTAATTTCACGAGAGAGGAAACCTAATCATTTTTATCTTTGTACATGTGCCCTTCACTGTGTGACCCTTCCTGATGTGCAGGTACTCAGTCAACATCTGTTGGACGAATGAATTCAGGCTTGCAATGGTAGTTCCCCTACTTTGGAGTCTGGGTAAGATGAGAGAGGGGGAAATCTCTGGGTTTGGGCCAAGACACCTGTCTTATTAATTGGTGTGTGATCCAGATCAGTCATTTCAGTTTTCTGTGATTGGCTTAAAGTCCTTTCCAGGGCTCCAAATTCACAGTGCTATCCCTTTTCCACTTATCCTTTAATTTATTTAAGTATAGTTGATATGCAATATAATGTTAGTTTCAAGTGTACAACATAGTGAGTCGATATTGATTTATTAATTTATTTTTGGCAGCACCCCAACGCTTGTGGGATCTTAGTTCCCCGACCAGGGATTGAACCCGCGTCCTCAGCAGTGAAAATGTAGAGTCCTAACCACTGGACCACCAGAGAATTCCCAGTGATTCAACATTTAAATACATTACAAAATGATCACCACAATGTCACCGCAAAGAATGTAACCATCTTTCACCATACAAAATTATTACAGTATTTAGTATTATCAACTATATTCCTCATGCTGTATATTACATCTCTGTGACTTACTTATAATTAGAAGTTTGTACCTCTTAATCCCCTTCACCTATATTGCCCAACTCCTCACCCTCCCCCTCTCTAGCAACCACCAGTTAGGTAAGTCACTAAAGTTCTGTTTGTTTCTCATCTGTAAAATGATAATAAGAACATGAATACCAACCATATAGGATTGTTGTGATCATTTAAATGAGTTATTAGGTATCACATACTTAGAGAATGCGTGGAATATAGTGAGCATTCAATACAGTGTCAGCTATCACTTTTAACTTCTGGACCAGCGTTACCTGTGAACCAAACAGTAATTCTACTTTTTCTGGTAGTTACATTTTATTTTTTAAATTTCTTTATTTGGCTGTATTGGGTCTTTGTTGCTGCGCGCGGGCTTTCTCTAGTTGCAGCAAGCAGGGGCTACTCTTCGTTGCGGTGCGCGGGCTTCTCATTTTGGTGGCTTCTCTTGTTGCAGGGCACGGGCTCTAGGCGCGCGGGCTTCAGTAGTTGTGGCACGTGGGCTCAGTCGTGGTGGCTCGCGGGCTTAGTTGCTCTGCAGGGATTGAACCTGTGTCCCCTGCATTGGCAGGCGGATTCTTAACCACTGCGCCACCAGGGAAGTCCCTCCTGTAGTTACATTTAAAAAGTAGTAAAAAAGAAACATGAAATTGTTTTAAAATATATTTTATTTAACCAAAGATATTCAAACATGCAATCAATTTTGTAATGACCCAAATTGTAATCAATGATTATGAATGAGCTATTTTATATATTTTTTTAAGTCTCGGAAATTCGGTGTGTATTCTACACTTATTATCTCAACTTGGAACAGCCACGTCACTTGTGGCTGGTGGCAGAGCAGCCCAGGAGAGGCCCCCCAGCTGCGTCCTCATCCCGCTAGGGTTCTTTCCAGCGCCCAGCTGGCCAGCGCCCCAGGCCCCGCCCCGCGCCCCTCCCAGGTTACGTCATAGAGCCACAGGCCCGGCCGCATGTGCCCCGCCGCTCACATCCTCCCCGCTCCAGGCACCAACTTCTAAAAGAAAGCGACGATCAATGCACAGAGCAGCGGAGTAGGCCGGTCGGTCCTCCCGCCGCTCTGGCGGCAGCAGGCGGGCGGGAGGCGGGCGTCTGAAACCCCCATGCGTACCTCGCCCCCAACGGCCCTCCGCTTGGCTGCTACCCCGGCGGGGTCGAGGCGGCGGGGCCGGCGCCTATTGGTCCGCCGCTGTCGTCCGCCCGCCCCCTCACCGCGCTTATTGGCAGGAGACGCGGCGCCCGCGGAATAGGCGGTGGCGGCGTCCCTCCCTCGCGCCGGCCCTGAAGAGGGCGACGAGGAAGCGGCCTCTCCCTGCGTCTCGCCCCTCGGACTCGCTCGCTGGCTCCCGGCTCCTCCAGGCTGCTCTCGGCCCTCTCCCGGCTCCCTCCGGCTCCGGCTCAGGCTCCAGCGCGGCGGCGGCGGCGGGTAGGTGCAGCGGCTGGCGGGGCCCCGTCAGAGGGGTGGCCTCCCCACTGCCCCCGGGACTGCCCGAGCCTCGCCCCGCGGCCGCCCGGGACCCCACCAGGCCCTCCCTTGGCGGGGAAGGGCGGTGGCCGCCGGCTTCGGGACGGGGGGGCGGCCGGGCGGGGGGCCTGCGGGCGTGATATTCCAAGTCTTCGAGGCGCGATCCGGAGACCCGCCGGGCGGGGCGGGCTGAGAGGTCCAGCTGCTGGGGTCTGGAGCGGTGGGGCCAAGAGGCACGCCTTGGGCGAGGGATGGGGCTGAGCCTGGGGAGCGAGGGTCGGCTGCAGCCTGGGGCCCTGGGTGGGGCTTGGGGACATAGGAGAACTCAAAGGTTGTCCCGTGAGGTTTGGGGGGTCAGTTGAAGTGGGGCTGAGGCGAGCCTTAGAGAGGGTGCAGGGTCAGGCCCCGGTGGGGCTCGGGGACGTAGAACTCAAAGGTTGTCCTGTGAGGCTTTGGGGGGTCAGTTGAGGTGGGACTGAGGCGAGCCTTAGAGAGTGTGCAGGGTCAGGGGTTACGGGAGGGGCTGGAGGGTGGTCGGGAGAACGGGGCCCCAGGCAGGGCTCTTCCTGCGTGCGTGGCCCTAGCACTGTTTGGGGACTAAGCATGTTTCTGGCTGCGGGAGTGCGCAGGGGTCGCTCGCTGTAAAGGGTGGGGATGCGAGGATAGGACAGGCACCTCGGGGGCAGTTGGAAATGTTACCCAGAACAGAGATTGTGATTTAGCACATGGACCAGGTTCTCCGCTGGTATGTTGCTTGAGCTCTTCGGTGAAATTACCCTGTGGGGGGGTGGGGGTGGCGGGGGATGTTAGGGTTTTCCTTCCATCTAGGAATGGGTAAATTAAATGCATTTGCTGCTTTGGGGAGGAGACAGTGATTACGCTTAGGTCTGTGTTTAAGGACCCAGACCCAGAGTGAAACGTGCTTCTCGGGATGGTTAGTGTTACCCAGCTTTCTCCTGGGAGCCCCCTTTTCTCCTCACCCTCCTCGGTCCAGTTACAGTATTGCTCCCCAGGGCCTCTCGATTCCCTCTCCCTGGCTCCCTAGGATTGCAGTGTTTCTTGCTCTGCGTGTGTGTGTCTCCCGCCCATTTTCCTGCTGCTGCGCTTTTGGCAACTGCCTCTGCTCTTTCCCAGGGATGGTTGTGGCATTGCATCAGGGGATATTTGTGCTTGTAATTTGCGCACTCAGCCCGGGAAGAGGGAGAATAGTATGCTGCAGAGATGGGGGTGGGGTGGGGTGGGGGTGCCGTCAGCTCGGCTGGGCAGACAGAGAAATGGGTGTGGTGAGGGAATACAGCTGCTCTAGGCCTATAGGGTAACACTGTCCAGTCATCAGCTCAAAGAGATTCAAAGAGCGGCAGCGGCAGCTATTTTTATAAATCAGTTCTGAATCCAAGCTGAGCACATGGATTTAGAGTGAACAGTTGTCATGCTCTAACTATTATGGGCTGGGTGTTTGGTAGACAACACTAGAGTTGCTAAGCAAGAGACTCCATCTGTACAGTACAGGGGGTACTTTACTTGTAGCATTTTAACTGCGCTTCTCAACTCTCTTGCATGGTACATCTCTTGTCAGGGGATGTCTTTTAAATTGATGTGGTTTGATGGTCCATACCGCTGTTTTTTTTTTTTAAGAATTTATTTATTTATTTTTGGCTGTGTTGGGTCTTTGTTGCTGCGTACGGTCCTTCTCTAGTTGCAACGAGCGGGAACCACTCTTCGTGGTGGTGCGCAGGCTTCTCGTTGCGGTGGCTTCTCTTGTTGTGGAGCACGGGCTCTAGGCGTGCGGGCTTCAGTAGTTGTGGCTCGCAGGCTCTAGAGCGCAGGCTCAGTAGTTGTGGCGCATGGGCTTAGTTGCTCCCCAGCATGTGAGATCTTCCCAGACCAGGGCTCGAACCCGTGTCCCTGGCATTGGTAGGTGGATTCTTAACCACTGGGCCACCAGGGAAGTCCCATACTGCTGCTTTTTAAATGAAATGTTTTTACCTCAATTATACACTTCCTTTCAAATGTGCCTTAGATATAATAAAGCTATCACTTTTTGAGCACTTGCCATCTCTCAGGCACTAGTTGTTGGTGTTTATTTACAGATGAGGAAATTGAGACTGACAGGAATCAAGGTCACACAGATAAAGTGGCATCCACACCAAGGTCCCTCTGACTCCCACAGTAGTTCAGAAACTGGACATTTCAGAAACTGGACATTTTTGGTTCACACGGGTGATTCAAGCACTTAAGAATTTATTCATGCAGAGTGATCTCACTGGAGACTGATAAGCCAGATATAAGTTTATTTATGTCAGGGACTTCCCTGGTGTTCCATGGGTAAGACTGTGCTCCCAATGCAGGGGGCCGGGTTCAATCCCTGGTTGGGGAACTAGATCCTGCATGCATGCATGCCACAACTAAGAGTCCACATGCTGCAATGAAGATCCTGCGTGCCGCCGCGAAGATCCAGTGCAGCCAAAATAAATAAATATTTAAAAATTAAAAAAATTATTTATGTCCAAAGTTTTAAGTGCCATATGCACATGGGAATTAATTATCCACTGGCCAGGGTACCTCCTTTGTTTCTGGGCAGCCAAATCAGTAATAAGGATGCAGTTGATTATATAATTGAAACTAAGGGCACTGTATGTTCTTAGGGGATGTTTTAATCAAGTCACAGAAGCCTAGTGGGTCTGCCTTCTTTCTCCACTATGCAAACTCCTATTGGGTTGGCCAAAAAGTTTCTTTGGGTTTTTTTCTGTAACTTATGGAATATTTATGTTGGACAGTGCTGGGGAGATTCTCACACATTTCCCCACTGTCTCAGTTTTTTAAGTCAACTCTTCATATATTTGTCATACCAGCATATACTTACTTGAGTTAAAATTCCCAAATTTATAAATAAGTTTATATTACATATTAAAAAAGTCATTTTCCATTGTTTGCTGACAGTGAAGGAAACACCTGTCTTTCTTATGCCTAAGCTTTATTTTTTAGAGGGTATGAAAACTTTTATTAATTAATTGGCTTTCAGGGGAGAGTAGGACAAGTTTGTCATACTTTTTCAAAATGGCTTGAGAACAAGGAAAGATACTTGCTTGCAGTTTTAATTTTGGTTGTAGGGTGGGGGTGGGAATGAGTGTTCCTTTGTGTGGTTTGAACCTCCCACCTACATCAAGATAGGTTGCTTAGTTTTAGAGATATGGTTTCTATTGATCTTAGGGTCTTGTTCTTTCTCCTAATCTTGTTTCAGAATTTGGTGGTCCATCCTTTGGCTGCATAAACTTTTGCTGTTGATACTTCAAATTTTTGACATCGCTATTTTCCTCCTCCTCCTCCTTCTCCTCCTCCTTTTTAAATATTAAGCATCAGTCGTTGATATGTAGGTTCTATTTTTCTTTAAAAAGCGAGAAAATCTGAGAGGAACATTTTGAAGTCATCTTGGTGTAGTTCATTTGACTTGCTCAGTGTGAAAAGGAAACCGAGTAGATATCAACTGATTTCACTTTGTCCTTCTAAATGGCACTCTTAGAACCAGGTTACTGTGGCCTTATTGCTAGGAGTGAGTATGCTGAGGACAGTTAGGGTCCAGAAAGGGGATAGAGCAAACATATATATGAGGGGTTTGTACACACTGCCTTCTTAGAGCATTGTAGGCTAATTTCTCAACACAGACCTTAGGGGAATTACTTTGTATGTCATTAAAATTTTAAGCTTGAAAGTCAACCGAATGTACTTTTGTGATTCTTTACAGGTTGAAAAGTTAATCTTCTCACCGTAAAACCCATTAAAAATAAATAAATAAATAATTTTTGGCCACATCTGGTGCTGTGCGTGTGCTTTCTCTAGTTGCAGAGGGCGGAGGCTACTCTTTGTTGCGGTGCGTCAGCCTCTCATTGCGGTGGCTTCTCTTGTTGCAGAGCACAGGCTCTAGGCATGCAGCCTTCAGTAGTTGTGGCATGTGGGCTTCAGTAGTTGTGGCTCGTGGGCTCTAGAGCATAGGCTCAGTAGTTGTGGTGCACGGGCTTATTTGCTCTGCGGCATGTGGGATCATCCTGGACCGGGGCTCGAACCCATGTCTCCTGCATTGGCAGGCGGATTCTTTTTTTTTAATTTATTTTTTATTTTTGGCTGTGTTGGGTCTTGGTTGCTGCGCTCAGGCTTTCTCTAGTTGCAGCGAGCGGGGGCCACTCTTCCCTGTGGTGCGCGGTCCTCTCATTGCGGTGGCCTCTCTTGTTGCGGAACACTGGCTCTAGGCTCGCGGGCTCAGTAACCGTGACTTGCAGGCTCTAGAGCGCAGGCTCAGCAGTTGTGGTGCACGGGCTCAGTTGCTCCGCAGCATGTGGGATCTTCCCGGACCAGGGCTCGAACCCGTGCCCCCTGCATTGGCAGGCGGATTCTTAACCACTGTGCCATCAGGGAAGCCCGGCAGGCGGATTCTTAACCACTGCGCCACCAGGGAAGCCCCGTAAAATCCATTTTGTTAATTTGCATTTAAGAATCGTTTGAAATGTATTTATAACCTTTCCTCACTCTCCCTAATTTTACAAGGTAAAATGCAATTTAAAAAAACCTTTTATTTTGAGATAATTTTAGATTACAGAAGAGTTGTAAAGATAGTACACAATTTCTGTATACTCTTCATTCAGCTTCCCTTAATGTTAACATCTTATATAATCATCATACATTTATCAAAATTAAGAAATCAACATTAGTTGGTTTTTTTTTTTTTTTCTTTTTTTTGCTGTGCGCGGGCCTCTCACTGTTGTGGCCTCTCCCGTTGTGGAGCACAGGCTCCGGACGCACAGGCTCAGCGGCCATGGCTCACGGGCCCAGCCGCTCCGCGGCATGTGGGATCTTCCCAGGCCGGGGCACGAACCCGCGTTCCCTGCATCAGCAGGCGGACTCTCAACCACTGCGCCACCAGGGAAGCCCCAGTCTCATCTTTATTTCCCCAGCCCTGGCCCTAGAAC